TCCACAATTCTCAGAGGGACATCCGGAGAGGGCAAGTGTGAAGCCCAGTGCCCGGCAATTACTGAGAGCTTAAGTGCTTAATACATGTTCACTATTACTAATTCAGCAGAAACATCATCCTAGATACCACAGTTTTAGAGTAATAGACACAATGATGGTAAGAGTAGTAGTTAATAATACTAGTAATGGCCATAGCTAGTGGGCCAGAGTGTGCCCATGAGTGTGGAAATAATGGCTTTGACCATCTTAAGGTAAGGAATTAAAGGACCGATCTTTTTACGTGATGGTGAAACGCCAGGCCTAGCGGCACATGCTTTGGAAGTACAAGACTTGATCTCTGACCGGGGAGCACCCTCCCTCTATAAGAAAGGCAGGCACAAGGCCGTGGGCAGTGGTGAGACCCCATGAGAAGCAGGATGATGCTATCTTTGAGGAGGAAGGGGGAAGGGAAGGGAAGGCAACTGAGAGCCCCAGGAAGTTCAGAAGTGACCTTCGTCATGTCAGTTGGGAAAAGATGGCTGTGAGTTACTTGCTCTGCAGAAGAGTGCAGCCGTGGATGTTTTCCCCTGTACATGGCAGGTTCAGAAGAGTCAGGAGGATATAGCTCAGCGGCAGAGAGCGTGTCTAGCAGGCATGAGGTCCTAGGTTCAATCCCCAGTGCCTCCATTAAAAATAAATATATAAAAAAACAGAAGAGGCAGCAGCCCCCACGTGGCCCCACGCTCGGGACTCTGCAGCCTGGGTCGTCCCTGGACCAGTGTCGGAGCCGGGGCCTCACTCACCCTCTCTGACCACATCACGGGCCACCGGGACACTGTGATCATCACTGGCAGCCTTCTCAGAGCTCTTGGTTCTCATGCCTTTTCTGTTGCTATTTTTACCTAAAAAGACAAAAAAAAAAAAAAAAGACAGATGCCTTCATCTCCACATATGTCAGGTCGTCCCAGGATGGTGAAGACTCAACGTCTTCCCCTGCAAGGCAGCCGTCTCCATCCTCTGAACCCAGTGATGGCACCTTGGACTCTGAGGTCCCTGTGGTCGAAGGAAAGTTAGCGTGTTACTGTGAACGCCCAGGGAAACAGCACTCCTAATAAAAACAATGTACACTTGCAGGCGGTTACTGTTCTCAGACACCAAACGTTCTGTGGAGTACCTGTGGCCCTCCTGGGGGCCTGAGCGTGACACCACATCTAATTGATTAAATGGAGCTGGAACTCCAGAACTCTGACCCCAGAGCTAGACCTCCTACCCTGCTGGGCTCCTCCCACCTAATTCCCTCCAAGGCCCTGGCTGGTACCTGGAGGGTGATGATGCCCACCACCCAGAGGGACTCCTTACTGGAGCCCAGGAACACTGCCCGCTCGTGCCTCACTGGCCCCTCCAACTTCCTCTCACACTGTGCTCTCCCTCTCTCTCTGCTCCATGAAAGCTGGCTTCCTTTCAGCCTTCAGTCCACGATTCCTGCCCACCATTCAGCCTTCAGTCCACGTTTCCTGCCCACCAGAACCTGGCCTGGGCTGTTCCTCCTCCTGGAGCGCCCTTCCGTTCACTCTCCATCTATTTAACTCCCACTGATCTTGCAAATCCCAGCTCTGCCGTACCCTCTTTGAGATAGCTTTCCTGAACTTCCTAACTAAATGAACACCTCCTTTGATGGGCTGGGATAACACTCATCTTTGGTCAGGTTGTCTCCATGTGGAGCCTGAGGCAAGGGTTCAGTGCATGTAGTTTATTGAGGGAGGGCTCTAAGGGGAAAGGGAAGGAGGAAACAGGATGGGGCAGAGGAAGGAGCTAAGTTCGGCTGTGTTCCTCACCAGGGTCACTCAGCCTGATCCCGCAGGGAGCTCTGGGGCAGGAATTGCACACAGTGCTGTCCCCACCTTGAGATAAGGAGCCACCTTCTTGTGCCAGTCAGCCTCTGGCTACAGACTGGTCAACTGGGGAGTGGGAAACATCACCCTCCAAAGCAATGTTCCAGAGAAAGGAGCAGCCATGAGCCAGCACAGCCAACACCCCGGCAGCTGTGGGACAGGTGTGCCCGAGGGAAGGGTGGGTCCCCACAGTGGGGTGTCGGCAGCCCGCACTACAGCTCCACACCCTTGTCTTGTGTCTCACCATCACACACCTGTAACGTGTTCTGTTCGTGCGGGCAGGAACTTGTTAGCTATTGCTCGCTGCTGCATCTCCAGAGAATGGTTGAGTCCTACATAATGGGCCATGATGAAAGAAGGACCATGAATGATGATGAGTCAGTGAATGACCACCAGACAAAAATAAGAGCAGGGAAGGTCTGTGGAGAAAGACACTTAGTTTCAACTTTAATAGGCAAGTTGGAATACCAAAAGCATCCAGCGGATTGTGCCAATTAATGAAATCATTTCAGACAGTACTAGAGTCACCCAAAAGAGATATTTCTCAAGAAAGCCTTAAATCTTCAAAACAATTTCGAGGGTGCACTGGGCCCAGCCAAGGCCAGTCCCCCCTCCACCACATTCTTGGGTGAGGCCTGCTGGGCGTACCTTTCTTTTTTCATGAAAGCTAAGAAAAAACACAAAGTTCAATGGTCTCCTCGGGTCAAGGAAATCAATGAACCAAAACACTCAGAAAGGCCAGAGGAGGAAGGCTGCCAACCTGAGTGCATCTGACATCAGCCTGAGGTCACCTCGGCCTCTGGCCCGGTCCTGTGGGTGACCTCCAGAGACAGCCTCTTCTGAAAGAGCCTGATGGAAGGAATGCAAAGACCTTGATTGTCAGGGGAAACAGGTGCCATAACTTTTGAGAATGCAGAGTCTGATTTGGTAGAAAGATAAGCTGTTATGGGGGGAAAAAGTTTTACAAAATATGAGAGGAAAAAGCCAAAGTTCTGGAAAAGAATGTTCCACCCAACCCTCCTCAGAAGTCGGCCACTGATTGCAGGCCTTCTCCCTGCCAGAGCAACCCCACGAGCCTCCAGGAACATCATGGGAGAGAGAGAGTCAAAGAGCATGGTCCAGGGGGAGCGTATAGCTCAGTGGAAGAGTGTGTGTTTAGCATGGTTGTGGTCCTGGGTTCAATCCTCGGTACCACCATTAAATAAATAAACTAATAAATAAATAAATAAATAAACCTAATTATCTCCCCTACCAAATAAATAAATAAATAAATAATTTTTTTTTAAAAGGGGGGCATGGTCCCCCGAACACCCTCAGCCTCATTCCCCTGGGCTAGACCCACGCCCACAAGGAAAACATCCCTGCTCAGCCCTGGGAATCCAATGAAGGCCCAGATTGGGGGCAGATGTGCGATCACCCCGAGGCTGACATGTGGGGAACAGAACCCTCCCGGGGAGTGGCAGAGTGGCAGAGACAACAGGAGAGGCCCTGTCACCTTCTCTAGGGGAGATCCACGTCCAGGATTTGCATCTGGTGCCAGCCCGACGCGGCCAGGTTCTGCCACCGCACTGACCACGTGTGTCCTCGGGGGGTCCTTTCACCCCTCTGTGCTCCGCCCCCTCACCAGTAAGACGAGGAGACACAGCACCTGCCTCAGCGGGACTTGGGAAGAGGAAACAGACAACGCCTATCACAGCACGTCGGGCAGCACCTGACCTGCAGGGACCCCCAAACAAAGACAGCCTCCGCCTTCGCATCATTAATATTAGTACTGCATCCCCCCACGTCACACAGCACCATCCAGCTGCTGGAACAGCCAACAAGGGGAGCATGGGTCACAACTTACGAGGCATTTCTGCATAGATAAAAACACTGGATCTTGGCCCAGGCCCCTCTGGGGCAGGAAGCTTGCTAGGAGCATTATCCTCCAGCTGGGGACACTGAGGTTCAGAGGAGAAGAGACCCAGCTAGGCTCACAGACAGAGCCAGGAGGTAGCAGAGCAGGAGCCTGACACCAAGCCTGGGCCCTTCCCAGCCTCTGCTTCTCTTTCAGCAAGAAAGGCAACATATGGCCTGTACAGATGAAAGAAAGAGTAGAGTGGCAACAGCATCCAGAGAAAGAGCCAGAATCAAATCAACATCTCCATCTGGGCGGCGTGACAAAACTGAATTCCTTACAAGTAGCAAACTGAACTGCCAGGGCGGACCACATAATCTATTCCGGTCTCTGGTGACAAATATCAGGCTTCCTGGTTGATAGCAAACTATTTTTCCCCCTCTCTAGACAAGCTGCTTACAGTAGCAACCCCAGAAACTCAAAAAATTCTTTGCTGCATATTTGCATTTTCCCCAGGAAATTCCAGCCCAATGGCATCTGCACTCCGGCTCGGGAAGGACTCAGCCCTGGGATCTGAGCTTCTACCTGGCTCTTGTGAAGGAACCCACATAAGGAGGAAGGCTCTGGCCCCAAGACACTGCGGGCTCTCCCAGAAAGGCAGCCTCGTGGTTTCTGAACACTGGGGGAGCAAGGAGGGCTCTGCAGGTGAATGCGAAAAGCCGAAACAAAAGTGGTTCAAAACGTGTGCTCCCTGCAGGTGTCAGCGGGAAAATGGGCTGTGACACCAGGAAGGAACAGCTGGTGCCCTTATCCAGTCCCCAAATCTGAGAAGTCAAGCTCCTGGTGGAAACATGTTTCTCAGGGATCAAGTGACGCCTCAAAAAAAAAGGGCTGAGTGGCTGAATGATGCGCACGCTTCTGTTAATTAGTGACCTGAATGGTCTGGGCTGGAGATGGAGGCACCAGTGCAATTTTCTAAGTGCTTTTTACCAGGGGTGGACCAAAATCAATTGATCCATCAACCAATCAATCGATCAATCTATCAGAAATCCTCCCCTGCTCCTGGTCAGCTGTGTCTTCCCTGGCAAAGGAGCTGGTCAGCCTGTGTCCTCCTCTGGGCTGGTCTCCAGTGCAGAAGACTTAGTCTCCACCAGGGTCCCTGGAGCAGGACGGACAGCCACTCCCAGCCTCTGTGCAGAAGCAGCCACCGTCCTGATTTGCAACCAAACAAGAAGCTCTTTGCCTTTCAAGAGACACCGGCATCACAGCAGCAGGGCACTGTGGGTACCTGCCTGTCTCGCTGTGGGTTCTGCCTGGAACTGGCTTGAGACAAGGCCATGGGTGCAAGAGTGCATGTGGGAGATGATTCTCTGAAGCACAAGTGAAGAAGTGAAGGGAATGAGAAGGAAATGCCAATAACCCAGGCTGTGTCACCGAGCGACACCGACGTGGCTGGACCTGGGGACCAGGGTTGAAGCTGCCTCTGACACATCCTTCGGAAGACTGTGCACTGACCCTTCTAACCTCCCACCATCTCCAGAAGCTTGGTCTATTATTATTCCTGAGTCACAGAGAGGAATTCGAGGCATGGGGAAGTCACGTGTGCCCGTGAGTGGCAGAGCCAGATTTTGAATCTCTCTGAATCCTGAACAAACTTTACCGAACACCTACCCATGCCTCGTGTGTGTGCCAAGTATTCCATAAAAATCTGACATAGAGTCTCAAATTAACATCTGACGAGGTCTTGTGCCACTCGGACCATTCATTCTATGATGCCCAGGTCAGCAGCCAAATAGATGCCAGCCAGAATAGACACTAGCCATTTCAGAAGCCATCCAAAGGCACCCTAATTTTATGAGTTTCAGGATTCCAGAGACGCAGCGTTGGTGGCAGGGGCCTCAGAAGTTCACAGAGGGCAGAGCCGCTGCTGGAGATGCCAAGCCTGAGAGCTCAGGCTCCCCGGCCACCTCAGGGACATCCAGCAGGCACACCCCCCACTTCAAAAATCCAGGTTCAAGGGCCCAGGCTGCCATTGTCATGGGACTGAGGGCATCATCCCCTGTGAGATGTGGCAGCCAGGGAGGCTCAGGGCACACAGGAAACGCAATGGCTCTTTTCAAGAACCACAGTGTCCAGCCCAGCTTCCCCAAACATGCGAGTGCTTCTCCCGTCA